CGTGACCGGGCCGGGCCAGACAGCGCGGCGCCGACCCAACCAAACGGCCCTCGCCGCCGGGCGCGCGACCCGGTGCCCCCCCGGGGGCTGCAGGCGGCTGGGGGCACGCCCTGGGGGCACGCACCCTCGCACGCACCCTCGCACGCACCCCCTGCGGCCCCTTATCTCCGGGCCGTTGTTCCGTTATACATATTCGGGTAATCATCGCAAGTACGCTTTTGAGCGACCGCCGCAGCGAGAACCGACGTTCGGTAAAAATGTTGGGACCCAGGTCAACGGGAAATGGGACACGACGGTCGAACGAGCATGGCACATTCATTTCCTTGCACGTTTCACAATGCGATTGGCGAACAGGTTATTTGCTCGCCTGTCTGTCTGTTTGTCTGCTTACCTGTCTGCCCGTCCGCCCGCAATCGGAGCGCACGCTGCTGCTTCTCCAGGATGTTCTTTTTTTTTATTTTTCCTTCCCAGTTCGCTTGTCGAGTGCGGTGCAGCGTGCTGCACACACACACACTCTCGCGAGAGCCCTAGTGCCCCGCCCTCTCACTCTCACGCCTTTGCCTTTCACTCGGAGAGGCGTCGGGTCGTCTTGTTGATGTATGCTAATCATTCCGCGCGTGCATGCCACTGCACGCCACTGCTGCACGCGCGTGTGTCTGTGTGACCCATCGCCGCTCGGTGCGCTATCCACCGCCAGCGACCCGGCCGCGCCGGCCGCGCAGAGCAGCGAGGCGGATCCAGGGCCGGCTCGCAGCGCAGGGGGGGTAGAGCTTTTGGTCTCCTTGAAGAGTGCTACTTTGTGCTTTGAGCACATTCCGACTGATGCGGCCCTGCAGGCGGGGCGACCCACTGGCGGGGCCGGACACTGCAGGCCTCGCTCGCCATAACCGTACTCCACGTGATGGGGGTGGGGGCGGCTGGCCGAGTCTAGCCGAGTCTAGCCGAGTCTAGCCGAGTCTAGCCGAGTCGGTCCGACCTACTTGCCAGTCTGCAGTGCGGCGAGGGGAGGGGGAGGGGGAGGCACGTGTGGAGGGTGCATCTGGAACGGTAATGTGGGGAGCTAAGCGACGCCGGCCTTAGAGAATCTGCAGACTGAGAGTCGCCTTCGTCGCTCCGTCTCTCTCGCACTCGTGGGACGTCCCGTTTGGGTGCGAGAGAGACGGCGACTCCCGGAGTCGGTCTTCTGCTCGAGTCTGGTGCAGCGCGACGCGCCGGCACTTCCGGACTCGAATCGCAGCCACTGCCAAAACTGCACGAAGAAAATGACGCGATTTGCGTATTTTGAGCTAGCTTATGAAGATAACAGTTGGGTATTTCGAGGCAATCCTCCGTGTGTCAAACTGAATAGCTTGCACACCACTTGCTTTGAATGGTTCACTGTAAAGAAGCGCACGCCGTGTGACCCAGATGCTGTTGCCGTCGCTGTGTTCCGTGTCGAATCCAACCGGTCGAACGGTGTGCAATTAATGATGGCTTGTCGCGCCCCGCCCCCGCCAAGTGGCCTGGGCCTGGCCTGCAGTCTGAGAGTCGCTTTCGTCGTGCTGTCTCTCTCGCACCTGCACGGCACGCCCCATGAGTGCGAGAGAGACAGAGCGGCGAAAACGACTCTCGGAATCGGTCTGCTGCTGCCGGCCAAGGTTAGCGCGGGGGGGGGGGGGGGGGGGAATCGATCGCCCTGCACATCCCTTGAATTGTGCAGGGCGCGCTATCGAACTAGACGCCGCGGCGCCCTGAGCGAGCACTGTAAGTGCATCACGGACACGGAAGACACGCGCGTGATGAAGCGCAGGGCGTGGCCGCGCTGCCACGCGTGCGCGGGGCTCGTAAAGAAGGCCGTGACGCCGGACGTCGGGCCACCCTACGCGGCCGCCCTGCAGTGCCACCCCCGATGCGGGCGGCACACGTCACGGGCCAGGTGGCCCGCCCTCTAGGGTGGCCCTCTAAGGTCCATCTTCATCGGGGTGGGTGCATCCTCCTGAGGTAGTGTCCTGCAAGGTTAAGGCGTATAGGTCTTTGAGTATGATAATTGAATGGAAGGTCTAGGCCTCCTCCCTGAGGTGGCCGCGTTCTCCCCTCCCCGGGGCAGGACGTCCCTTCGCCCCTTTCCCAGTGTGTCCACGCAGGGTCAGCCGGGCCCTACCTCCTCGGGGCGGCCCACGCGTGTTCGAAGCTCGGCGTGATGAGCTTTGTCCGAGCGAGGCTTAAATAAGGCGAGTGGAGGGCGTAATGGTCTGCGGACACGAGCGACCTGGCGGGCCTAGCGGCGGTGCCGCCCCTCTATGAGAAATTTATATCAGGTGGTGTATTTCGGAAGACATGCGACCGATGGCCGGCTGGGCGCCGGGCCCGCCCCGCCCGCAAGGACACGCCAAGGTCTCGCCAATGGACGGAAAAGCGCATCGCACCCAAAAAAAGGCGTTTCTTGAACCAACAGTGTTGTCATGACGAAAATTCGCTACGCGCAAGACCATCAACAAGAGTCGCTCTCGAGACAGGAAGCCACTTTTTTGTGCTCTTTTTCGCCTCCTCTGCCCTTTCTCCGTTCGTGGGCGAGGGATTTCTGAGGCGGCGGTCCGAGAGGTCAAGTGGCGCCGAGATAAATGGCATAATTTGGCGGTGTTGGCCGAGGCGGCCGAGGCGGCCGGGGCGCTCCAAGGATGAGCCGAGCGTGACTCGCCGTGGAGGCGGAGCGAGGCGGAGCGAGGCAAGTGACATTTTGAACGGGACGGCGGAAACGGCCATCGAGATATCGAGATCCACGCGACGGGCACTCTGCAAGAAACGCCAGCAAAAACCATAACGGGAGACTCCCTGTCTCCCGACTCACTGGGGGTCTCGCTCCGCCGCGTGCTTTGACCTGCTTCCCGTGTGTGTGGTGCGGCCCGTGCGTCCCGTGCGGCCCGCTCGGCCTTCGGGTAGGGAAGGGAGGACTCGCACGATCTCCTTCGCCACCAGGGCGACGATAAAAAGGCCAGAATGAATGGAATTGGCGGGGGGGGGGGGGGGCGTCTGGCAGATCTGATGACAGCGGACAACAATAGGCCTGGGCCTGGGGGTCCACGTCGATACGTCGATGCATCCCTCCCTCTCTCTCGCTCCACCTCACGCGTGGACGCATCGGCGCCGCATCTCTGTCGCACTATCGCACGGCATCTCGTGGAATGGGGTCCGCTTGACGGCCTTTGCGTTGCTCTGCGTCGACGCGCACCGCCGCCACGCAGCGCCAGCGGCGAGCGAAACTCGATTTAAAATCCGATTTCCGACTTTTGTCGCCCCGTTTCCGCCACACGCTGTGTGGCCAGGTCGTACCGCGGTGCCCACCGCGCGGGGCAAGGGGCGTTTATTTATTACGTCACCCGCTGTTGCCTGACGAACGGCCGGTCGGTCACTTTGTCACTTTGGCGGCGTCGGGTCGGCCGGTCGTTCGGGCTGGCCAGCACTGACCCCGTCGCCGCGTTCGTCGGGTCGATAGTGGAGGCCGTGCCCGCCGTGCACGCCGCGCCCCGGGACTAGGACGCGCTGCTGCACCGTGCGGTGGCGGCCGGTGGCGGTGTAGTCCGTGTTCTAGATGAATTGCCCGCGCCGCCGCGCCGCGCCGTCGTTAGCGGTCGCGAATGTGTGTTCGGCGAGATGTATTAGGCTGTCACCTTTACGAGGCCGAGGCCGGAGTGGCGGGGCGTGGCGGGGCGTGGCGGACGGGGGCCGGGGTGGGGGAAGGGTTGCGGGGTTCGGCCGGGCTGCCCGCCGTCGCCATCTGCTGCCAAGAACTTATCATTGTTGCGGTGTGTTGCCGTGTCCTGCCCGTGCCCGCCGTGCCAGCGAGGCCGCGCCGGCCGCGCCGCTTAGGCAATGTTCTGCCAGTCTCGCCAATATTGGAACTGCGCTGGTAGTGTCGCCTGCTCGGCCGCTCGGCCCTACGGTGCAGTGGCCGTCGACGTACTCGCTATATTTAGCAGTCAGTCGGTCGCGCGCTGTGCGGCCAGCAGACTGATTCCGAGAGTCGTTTTCGTCGCCCTGTCTCTCTTGCACTCCTGTACTGGTGCGAAAGACTCGCGTTACCTACAACAGTGTGGCGTGAATTTGGCAGGCAGTTCGGCAGTTTCGGCCTCTCCTCCCACGCACACGCGAATTCGCGACGTTAGGTTTCGGCTTTCGGAAACCTGTCCTGACGTCCCAGGCCTTATTCGCCGGGCTAGCCGGTGCTCTTTGAGTGGTCGCGGTGCTTGCCAAACTTTGACGAGCTGGCTGCCAGCCCGGCCCCCGGCCACGCGGCCACGCCAGCACCGGGACATGGCCAACACGAACGTGGCCAACATGAACATGGCCCTGTTTGCTTATTGCGCTCCGTTCGGCCCGGCCTGGGCGGCCTGGTCCTTGTTCCCCCTTTACGTCGCATTGTGCGCCGTGTGACACACACACGCACCTTCGTGGCTAGTGTGTGTGTGTGTGTCCGTGTGTGTGGTTCCTGCCCGCGGCTTATCACGGGGCGGGGCGAAGGTGAGTGACCCTGCGTCCGCGTGTGTGTCACGCGCGAGACCACCGCTCTGTCTCTCTCGCACTCATGGGGTGGGTGCAAGAGAGACGTGCCGTGAGTGCGAGAGGGACAGGCCTTGCCCTTGCCGTCCTTCCTGTCGTGTGGCTGCTCCGTGGCTCCGACGCTCCGCTCCGCCGAGGGCTTCGCGACCTCCCTCTTGGACCTCTTTCTCCGCGCCTGCTGCGCCGTGCTGTGCTTTGTGTAGACAAGATCTCCATTTCCAGTGGCCTCCGCCCGGCGGCCCGGCACTGCCCGTACCGCGCGTGTGTTCCGTGCCTGCATCTCCGCCGGGCTCCGGGTCCTGCGCTGCGCTGTATTTGTTGTTGTTTTTTTTTTTAGTGTGTCGGCGGAGACGGATGTCGTGGTGGCGCCCGGTGCGGCGGCCTCCCAGCAGCGAAATAACGTCGTGCGCGGAATCGCTTTTTGCGTTAATTAATTTTGTTGTTGTTGTTTTTGCTGCTTGCAGGTCTAGGTGCTTCGGAGGTGAGTGTCTCGCCCGACCGGGACGGAGCAAGCAGGCAAGCAGGCAGCACCCAAGGGCAAGTCGGACGGAAACCGCTAGTTAGCTCGGCGAATTTCCATCACCAAACGGCCTAAACGGCACACTCACGCAAGGGTACTGCTCTCGGGACGAGACGAGGTGTTTGTTTTCTTTCAAAGATTCCCGTTTTAAGGGTGGAGCGGTCTCGGGGAGCGCCGGGCGGGTAGGCAAGCCCGTAACACGCGGCTGCGCGGCAGGCGGGCCTACCCTCGCGGCGTTCTCCTCCGCTGCTCCTTTGTTGCATTTGCACTCTCTGTCGGTGTCGCTCCGGGACAAAGGTGTGTGTGTCTGTGTGCGCGCGCGTGCGCTTTGTCCTGTCTCGCCCCGCGCTCCGGTTAGCGCGCCCCGCCCCGCCCCGCCCCGCCCCGCCCCGCCCCGCCGTCGGGACGCTTACTCACCTCCCGGCCTTGGATCCGCCATGGTCAAGCCGCCCCGGCCGTTGCCGCCAGCGGGTCGCTACCGCTGCCACCGCTACCGCTGCACTGCCGCCGCGATGACGTTACGATTCGCGCGCGGACGCGTGCAGGACACGGCCGGCACGGCTATCAGCCCAACAAGGCCGTCTTTGTCCCGGTGCTCGCGGTGCTGCGACACGTGTCGAGTCTTTCTGCTACGCTGCCACGAACGGCCGGGTCGCAATGCGTTTCGGCCACGGGCAAACAAAAAGAGAACCCCAAGACGTTGAGATAACAAATGAACCAAAAGGAAGGCGGTGCGAACGCCAGAAGACTGTTCCGCTTTGCGTGAGTCTTCCGCTAGCTACGAGAGTGAGGGATCCTCACAGGAAGAACAGCCCAACAGCTTGGTCGAATGTTCTTGCTCTAGAATGTCCGTATTTTATTTTTCATGTTTTTGGTCGTCTGTGGTTCGCAGTGGCGTGTACAGCCATGGCGGTGAATGATTGAACGTAGGGCGAGGCGTTGACAGCAGCAACAACAACAACAACATTGGATTTGGTTGTTGTTGTTTGCGGGGACTTGAACGCGCTTGACGTGTGTGTCCGGACGTGTCCGAGGGGCGTTATTACCGCCCAGAGCGGTTCTTTCTCTCTTTCTCTGTGGATGGCGCCCGGGCCGCGGGGCCCTGCGGTGTGCCGGTCGATGGTAGTTTTGCGTATTGCCTGTTCTGCCTGCTGCGGTTTCGGCGCGCAGGGTCCGCGCGTTGGGCGCCCCGCCGCCTCGGCGCCGCAGCAAACCGCGAGCCCAACGGGTGCGAGAGAGACAGAGCGACGAAAGCGACTCTCGGAATCCGTCCGCCGGGTCGTGCGTTCGTGAACTTTCGCGCACGCGTCCCATCTCGGCGTGATTCGATCCCATCCCGTCCAGGAGAGGAGTCGGCAGATTGGCTCGGTAGGCAATGCAGGCGATGGCCGGGGCGATGAGGCGACGAGCAGCAATCAGTCTGCGCGGAGAGTCCCGGTGCGGGGAAACCCTGGCCGGCGTGGCCGCGGGGCCCTCGACGAGCGCGTCACCGCGGCCGAGGAAGGGCAGACAGGGCGTCGCGGCCGAGGCCAATGAGTCATCGGCAAGGACGACGGCGCGCGAGGCGAGGTGCCCGCCAGGGTGACTCCCGGTGACCCAGTGACTGCCTCTGCGCCGGCACTGGTAGGCGGCAGGCGTTCCCGGTGACATACCCGGTGACTTCCTCCGAGCCGCTCTCAGTCGACTTCCGGTCCGACGTCGGCGTGACTCGCTGCCCCCTCCACTGGAAAGTCCCTTCCCTACTTACACACGCAAAGTGTTGGCGCCTCGCACGCGGGGGGCGGCGCGGCGCGGCGCCGTGTGTGGATCTTCCGGTCGACTTTCACGCGGGGCTCGGCTCGGCTCGGCCCCGTGGGGCCCTCCGCCGTGGCCCGGCTGCGCCGCGCAGGTAGACCCACTCCGAGAGTCGTCTTCGTCGCTGCGTCTCTCTCGCACCCATACGGGGCGCCCCACGAGTGCGAGAGAGACGACGACGACTCTGCTGCGCGGTGCGCGATGCGCGGTGAGTCGGCACCGAGTCCGGGATCCGCGCGAGGCGAGGCGAGGCGTTCGCAGCACGCACGGCGGCGGAGGTCCGGGACGGCCGTCCCGGAGCCTCGCCCGGAGCTTCCCCGGAGCTTCCCCGGAGCCAGCTCCACTCCAGCCGGCTGCCGGATGTCCCGCCATTGTGGGGCACTGCACTGCCAGGACTGCCAGGCACTGCCTTCCGTCAACAAGCAGCCGCCGCGTCGTCGGCGACGCCCTCCGCCCTCCTGAATAAGGCCCTCGGCGAGCCGCCCCGCGCGCTGTTTTGAAAATGCAAAATGCCAAAATGCGCGACGGGCTGAGGACGCTAACGGTAAATGCGCATTGATTTTCCGTTTCCGCTCTCCGGCCCACTTTGTCATGCGGCTGTCGTGACGACACGGCGGACGTGCCGAGCTCGGTCGAGCTGGGGGAGATTCCGGCCGCGGGGATTGCCCCCCCCCCCCCCACCCTCACGCACAGCGTGCCACTTGCGGCGCGTGCCGGCGAGGGATTTGGCGCGAAATGCTTTGCCGCGGTCCTTTTCCAATCTTCGGCGCGGCCCGGTGCGTGGGACGACGGCGGTCTGCAGACTGAGAGTCGTTTTCGTCGCTCTGTCTCTCTCGCACTCGAGGAGCGGTCCGGACGGTGCGGGAGAGACAGAGACTCTCGGAGTGTGGCGGCTCGCGTGCGACCCGACCCGTTACTGGACCGCGCGTAAGTGGAAGGCGCGGCGTTTGCCGGCCTCGAATCGGAGCGTCGCTCTGTCTCTCTCGCACCTGCACGGGACGCGCCGTGAGTGCGAGTGAGACGGCACGAGCCCGCAGACTCCGGGCCGCGGGACACAATGGCGGCCGCCGCGAAACCCGGCCAGCTCGGCGCCCGGGGTCACCGCTGGAGCGGCTGGAGCGACTCCAGCAGACGGGTCGCTCTGTCTCTCTCGCTCCTCCGCGGGGCGCCGCCTGAGTGCGAGAGAGACGGAGAAGGGCTCTCGGTGTGCGGGCGGGCCGGTCCGGTGTCTCGCAACGGCTGTCCTGCTGTTACGGTTCTCTTGTTTTCGTAGTTCGTAGGGATCCCACGGCCCGCCATGGCGCGCAGGCCAAGCGGTGTCGAGTGGAGCGGAGCTGCGACGGCCTTGGGCTGCGGGCTGGGCGTCACCACCTCCCCCGCGGATTGGTCGGCGTCCTGCGTTCACTCCTCGCTGCGGCCGCGCTCGGCCGTGCAAGCCTTCCATTAGCTGGCCCTTTCATAGTCCCTCCCAGGACCCTTCAGGTGGCCGGCCTGTTTGGCGAAGCGAGTCGAGGAGGAAGCGCTTCAAAGAGTGCCCGCTGCCTGGATGGCCCGGCCGGACCAAAGAGTGCACTTTTTTGTGCCGCCGCGGTTTTTCTTCGGCGAGTCGAACCTTGATGCGTCCTGCCGGCCGCGCCGCGCCTCTGCTAGGCTTCGGTGCTTCGGGGCGGTGGCCGATTTAAACACGCTGCGTGGCGCTGGCTGCGGTTGGCGGGCCGCCAACCGCACCACGTGTGTGTGTGTGTGCCTGTGAGTGTGTTTGTTATGTGCGCCTGTGTGTGAGTCGTCCGCGCCCCCACAGCGTTTTGTGCGCCTTTTTAATGGCTTTCTGAGGGATCGCTCATCAACACACCATCACCGCCGCCGACGCGCTCGACAACAAGAAGGCCCTGCCATGCTGTTGCAGCCCTGTTTGCTCTCGGTGAGCAAGCAATTTGCAGCCTGCCGAGGCTGCCGAGCGCCGAGCGCACTTGTAAAATCGCTCGTCTCCCCGCCGAATCGGCTGATTGCATTTCCACCTGGGGCTGATTGCACTTGGTGATCGCCGAGGCGAACCGAACGCGCTTCCAGCAGTGTGGGCGCGCTGCCGCAGACTGTTGCCGCCGCTCTTGCTCGCGGTTTTGAATTTTCCCGCCAAAAGTGGCGGTGGCGATGCCGGTACCGTAATGGCTTGTGTAACGCGAGGTAACGAAGCGTACTTTGTATCAGCCTGGCGGCCTCGCGGCCCGTGGGGAGGGGAGGGCGTGCAAGTGTTTAAAACACGCTGGCCCCTCTGGACGCGATTCGCGCATACAAGCGCGCGCGCGCACACACACACACACACACACACACACTCGTGGAAGCTTTCCTCGCGAGGGCACCCCAGTGGAACGCCCCTGCGAGTGGTCCTGCGGGCCGAAAGGCCGAAACCAGTGGCCCTCCGCGGCCGGCATGATAATTGGGCTGTGCACGGTGTGGTGTTGCACGCGCGGTACGCGCGGTGCAGGCGTAAACGCATTATAAAATGATTGCGGGATTACATGTGTGTCTGTCTGTCTGTCCGTCCGTTGCCCAATCAATCCCGTCACGTCTCTCGACTGCAGTCATCGGCGCTGCTGTGCTGCGAATAGTGGAGTCGGGGTTCATCTTCGCGTGCGAATAGCGCCGCTGCTGCTGGGCACACCCACCGCCGCCGTCACCGCCGGGCTTTCTCTACGCAGCCTGATTCCGAGAGTCTTTTTCGTCGCCGTGTCTCTGTCGCGCTCGTGGGGCGCCCCGCATCGGTGCGACAGAGACGGAGCGACGAGGGCGACTCTCGGAATCGGTCTACTGGCCGCGCGACACCCTCGCACCTTTTGCGGTGGGTCGCGGCGCTGCGGCGCGCTGCAGTGACTTCCTTATTACGCGTCCCTTCCGGCGGGGCGGGGCGGGGCGGGCGGGGCGGGGCGGGCGACGCATCCGCGGCGACGCGTCGCCGTCGCGACGCTGGCGTGGAGGCGTGCCGACGGTGTGGCGGCTCGTGACGCGGTCGGATTGAACGAGCGCCGCCTGCAGAGCAAAGCGACTCGTCGCTCTGTCTCTCTCGCACCCCTTTACGGACGTCGAGCGCCCCGTGAGTGCGAGAGAGACAGAGCGACGCTGCTGCAGCTTGTTTGCGGCTCTTTTGCCCGAGGCCCCGAGTCCCTCGA